GTATTTCTGTGAGATTAAGAAGATCCACTAAGAAGTGTCCAAGTGAATGTAAATGAAATATCACCCATTAAATTAATTATGGATGAGCACTATATTGAGTTTGAACTTCATATAGCAAAAAAAATATGAACAGCGTAGACAAAAAACAATAAAATCCAAAAATAAGTAAACCAGATATTTTTCATTGTGCTTCAAGGATAATTTTTAGGTTATCAGTAATTCTCAAAAAGGGAGTTGAACTTCCATAATGTGTGGATTCAGGCAAGAGCCAATTTGTAGAGATATTTTCACAAAAATCTTAAAATAGGCTTTTAATCACAACATGTATCTGTGTGTGGTTCTGAGGATGGAAGCAAGGCCTTGCACCTGCTAGGCAAGGCTCTTCCATTGAACTACTTCCCTAGCTCCAAAATACGTAATTTTAAAAAATATTTATTTATTTTTACTTGTAGTTGGACACAGTACCTTTATTTTATTTATTTTTATATGGTGCTGAGGATCAAACCCAGGGCCTCACACGTGCTAGGCAAGTGCTCTACTGCTGAGCCACAAACCCAGCCCTACATTATGTGTTTTTAAATTAAGAAAAGAAATAAGATTACTTTTATACTTAAGTTTTAAGTGTAAAATTTAAAGTGCACTAATTTAAAAGGATTTAAAATACCACTTTAACAGGATTTGAATGATGATGGGCACACAATTTAGGATGACTGAAGTTCAAGACTTTGTGCAGATACTTGAGATTAAGAAGATGGCAAAATATGGGGCTGGGGATGTGGCTCAAGTGGTAGCGTGCTCGCCTGACATGCGTGCGGCCCGGGTTCAATCCTCAGCACCACATACAAACAAAGATGTTGTATCTGCCAAAAACTGAAAAATAAATACAAAAATTATCTTCTCTCTCTCTCTCTCTTGAAAAAAAAAGAAGAAGAAGAAAATGGCAAAATAGAGAATGTCAAGTTCCTGGCTGCTCTGTGGAGTGAAACCAAGAAAACAAGCAGCTTCTCAGCAAATAAGGTACTGGAAACCTTCAGGGACACTGTAAGTCCACAGGGTAGAATCTCTACTGCCTCAGATCCATACTGTTAGATGGGTAGATGCACAAGCAACATTAAAAAAATCAAGGGAACAAATCACCCCAAGCAAACCAAGATACTCCAATAACAGAATCCACTGACACCACAGTGGAAGAAATGCCAGAGGAGTTTAGAATGTACATAGTTAAACTCATCTGCAAAGTAAAGGATGATATAAGAAAGCAAATACAGGTAGCAAAAGATCACTTCAATAAAGAGATTCTGAAAAAAACCCCCAGGAATTCTTAAAATGAAGGAAACAATAAACCAAATTAAAAATTCAATAGAAAGCATAATCAACAGAATAGATCACTTGGAAGACAGAACCTTAGGCAATGAAGACAAAACATGTAATCCTGAAAATAAAGTGGACAATGGAGATAAGATGCTAAGAAACCATGAAAGGGACTTCCAAGAATTATGGATAACGTGAAAAGACCAAATTTGAGATTTATCAGGACAGATGAAGGCATGGAGATACAAACCAAAGGAATACACAATCTTTTCAATGAAATAATACCAGAAAATTTCCCAAATCTAAAGAATGAAATGGAAAATCAAATACAAGAGGGTTACAGGACCCCAAATGTGCAAAATTACAACAGACCCACATCAAGGTACATTATAATGAAAATGCCTAGCATACAAAATGAGGATAGAGTTTTAAAGGCTGCAAGAGAAAAACAGTATATTACATATAGAGGATCTCAGGTTACATATAGAGGATCACATTATAATAAAAATGCCTAGCATACAGAATGAGGACAGAATTTTAAAGGCTTGAAGAGAAAAATATCAGATTACATATAGAAGATCTCAGCTGATTTCTCAGCCCAGACCCTCAAAGCTAGGAGGTCCTGAAATAACATACCAAGCCAACCAAGAATCCTATATCCAGAAAAATTAAACTTCAGATTGAAGATAAAAATAAAAACCTTTCATGATAAACAAAAGTTAAAAGAATTCACAACCAGAAAGCCTACACTTCAGGTGAAATGATGGGGAAAAAAAAACATATCACTTACACGGACTGTATAAACAAGCAGGGGTTTCTATACTCATATCAGATAAAGTGGACTTCAAGCCAAAGTTAACCAGAAGGGACAAAGAAAACATTTCATATTGCTTAATAGAATTATACATCAACAAGACATAACAATCATAAATATTTATGCCCCAAACAATGGAGCATTTACGTACATCAAACAAATCCTTCTCAACTTCAAGACTCAAAAAGACCACAACACAATAATACTGGGTGACTTTAAACATACTTCTCTCACTATTGGATAGATCTTCTAAACAAAAAAACTCTAGAACTAAATAATATAAGCAATAATTTAGACTTAACAGACTTATATAGAATATTTCATCCACCAATGACTTCTCACCAACTTCTCAGCAGCACACATATCCTTCTCTAATATAGACCATGCTATGCAAGCTATCACATATGTTGGCATACAATTGTAATATTACCTTAATATATTTTTAGCATCTGTAGGGCTGATAGCTCCCTTGCCATTGATATTAATTTGTGTTCTTGATTTCTTCTTGATTAGACTTATTTGACTTTTTATCAAATTTTAGCTGTATTATTTCTTCTCTATTTCATATATTTCTGTTCCTACTCTTATTTTTTCCTTCCTACTACTTAATTTGAAAATAATTTGTTATTCCAGCTTCTTTCTGATACAAGTTATAATGTTCATCTGAGTATTGTTTCATCCCAGAGATCCTGATATTTTAAGTTTTTATTGTCACTTTTTATTTACTTTCCTTGTGCTTTCTTCCAAGACCTCAGAGACATTTATAAGTGTGCCATTTAATTTTGAAGTAGTTTTATGTGGGGGTGGAGTCCTATATACCTTAAGGTAATTGATTTCTAATGTAAGAAATCATGCAGGAACCACATTTTTCATGATTTCAATTTTTTAAAAAAAGTAATGGAAATGCTTTTTTATATTGATTGTTTTGGTTACATACATGTCAAAACTGACCAAAATTGCATACTTCAAATATGTGCATTTTATGTACTTCAATCTTACCTCAATAAAGCTATGGGGGGGGGAGACTTTGTGCAGATATTTATTCCAAGCATCATATGACTGAAAGCTACACAATTAAACAACCTTCACACAATCACTGGTTGAAAGGTGAGCTGGGTGCAGTGGTACATACCCATAATCCCAGCTGCTGGGGGTAGGGCAGCCTGCCTCAGCTACTTAGCAAGACCCCATCTCAAAATAAAAAAGGGATGGGGATGGATATGGTTCACTGATTAAGCATCTCTGGGTTCAATCTCTGGTAACAAAAATAAAAGGTGAAAACTACTGGTGATGGGCCTAGTGATCTACTAAATGAGTAGAGGTTAGTTAGGGTAAGAGTACAAGTGTTTATAGTAATGTGTTTTCAATGTTTTATTTTCCCCCCTGGTACTGGGGATTGAGCCAGGGGCACTTTACCACCAAGCTACAACCTTAGTCCTTTTTATTTTTGAATACGGTCTTGCTAAGTTGCTCAGGACCTCACTATGTTGCTGAGGCTGGCCTTGAGCTTGCAATCCTGCGCAGCCTCGGGAGGGGCTGGGTTTCCAGGCAAGGGTTGTCACACCTGGCTCAATCTTTTTTTTTTTTCCTTTTCTTTTTTTGTTAACAGAGTAAAGATATTTCATAGAAGACCTAAGGAAACTTTAAATGTGTGACTATTTCTAAGCTCGGGTATTCTTTCACATGTACGTGCAAAAGAAAGCCTCCAACAGCAGCTATTTCATAGGGCGACAGGAACGCCGCGGAGTGGCACCGCCATGGCGCTCTGGGTCCTCGTGCCACAGCACCTTGGCGTGCTCCCTTCATTGGGAAAGGCTGATTTTCAAGGTCACTGTGGCTTCTGAACCCCACACTCCAAGCTGCGACAAAAGCCTCCGGCTGGCCGCTCCCCCAGGTGTGAGGGACGTGGCCCTGTGACAGGACTGAGCCAAAGGGTGGCCAGGAGCTCAGCGAGGTCGCTGTCACTACACCCAGGTCACAGGCTCCCCGGGCAGGGGCGTGCAGGTCGCCTCCGCCTCAGCTGCACCGGGGGTCCAGGGTGGGGGCCGTGGGTCAGGGGACGAGGGGTCGCGGCTGCAGGTTGCGCCAAAGTGTGGCAGAGAGCCGGCCAGCGGGGGTCAGGGCCCCTGGAGGGGAAGGAGCAAGGGTGGCCGGGGTCCCTGGAAAGGGCGGGAAGGGGTGAAGATGGCGGAAGGGGTGGTCCCCTGGAGGGGAAGGGGCAAGTGTCGCCGTGGGGTCCCTGGAGTGGACGGGAAGGGGTGAAGGTGGCCGGGGGTCCCTGGAGTGGACGGGAAGAGTGTGGCCGGAGTCCCTGGAGGGGAAGAGCGAGGGTGGCCGGGGGCTCCCTGGAGTGGACGGAAAGGAGCGAGGGTGGCCGGGGGTCCCTGGAGGGAAGGGGAGAGGGTCGCCGGGGGTCCCTGGAGTGGACGGGAAGAGTGTGGTCGGAGTCCCTGGAGGGGAAGAGCGAGGGCCTCGGGGGCTCCCTGGAGTGGACGGAAAGGAGCGAGGGTGGCCGGGGGTCCCTGGAGGGAAGGGGCGAGGGTCGCCGGGGTCCCTGAGAGGACGGTCGCCGAGGCTGGCCGAGAGGCGCGCTCGCCCCTCAGCCCCGCGGGTTCCGGCCGCCGCGCGGTTACCCGAGCCGTTGGGGCCGATGATGCAGGTGAACCTTCTGAAGGGGCCAATGACCTGGCGGCCCCGCCACGACTTGAAGTTCTCCACGAGCAGCACATCCAGGCGGCCCATGGCTGGCTCCACGCCTCAGCCGCGTCCTCACGCGCCGGCTGGAAAAGCGCGGGAAGGACCTCGCCAAGTCTCGCGAGACGACGCGGGGCGGCGCGAGCGCCGTTCCTTGGCAACCGGCGCAGCGACCGCTCACTCGCCCGCCGGCTCCGCGCCGGACGGCTGCCCACTGGGGAGCTGCGCCTCCGGGTCGCGGCGCCTCCGGGTCGCGGCGGCTTGGTCTCGGCTCTCCGCCCTGCCGGCTTGGATTTGCCCTCGACCCCCGGAGCCATGGAGGTCGTGCTGCCCGCGGACCTGCGGCAGGACGCCAGCGTGGCCAAGAGGAGACACGCCGACTTGTGCAGGCAGAAGCGGGTCTTCGACGCCAGGAGCAGGATCATTGGGGTGAGGGAGGGAGAGCAGCGGCCGGGCCCAGGGCGGTTGGAAGCCCTGGCGGCCCAGACGGCCTTCTCACCCGCCCCACGGACAGATAGGGCCGTGCCTGGGGTTGATGGGGACACCGGAACAGGCTTTGCTCCCTCTGAGCCAGGTTTTCTACACTGCCAGGGTCCCTTCCAGCCCAGTTCATGTCGGCCACACAAGCCTTTGGGGCAAGCCGGGCCCCAAGAGAGTCCTCCCAAGGAGGGACTAGTCAGTTCTGGACCTTGCAGAGCTCACGGCCCAGGGGAGGAGGCGGATATTAAAGTGCTCACAGGAAAAATGCAGTGGGGTCAGCCTGTGAGGGAGGGGAACGCCGCCCGGAGGAGGTGATGCCTAAGCAGTGTTTGAGGATGTGTCTGTTAACCAGGAAAGGGGGAGGGAAAGTCCGGAGCACAGAAAAGCAACTACAAACAAAGGTATCCAAGCATGAAGAGTCCTGATAGCGCAGCACCTGGTGGCCACACCTGTAATCCCAGCGACTCAGTAGGCAGAGACAGGAGGACTGCAAGTTCAAAGCCAGCCTGAGCAGCTTAGTGAAAACTGCCTGAAAATTCAATAAAAAAGGCTGGGGATGTAGCTCAGTGGCACCCCTAGCACCGTTCCTTGGCAACCCCATTATGAGAGAAAGGTGGGGCGGGGCAGGGCAGGGCGGGGTTGGTAGCGGGGAGAAAAGGAGGAAGAGCGGGAGGGAGGAAGCAAAAGGTATCTTCTTGCCTGAGATAGTTACTTTGCAGTCAGACCAGAAAGATAGACAGGATGGTCTGTTGAACACCCATGTCTGGCTCTGACCTTGTCCCTGATTTTCCACTTCCAGGGAGACACAGAAGCCTGGAACTCCCAGGTTCATGACCAGAAGATAAGAGAAGCAACTGAAAGAGCTAGACATGAAACCTTTGGTGAGCACTTCTTGAGTGCTTGTCCCTGGGGTTAGGGTGGAGGGTCTTCAGGCCCCATTCCTCATTTCTTCACAGTACTGAAAAAGAAAAAGTTGTTGGGCTGGGGATGTTGCTTAGTGGTGAGCACCTGCTTAGCCTTCTCCAGGCTCTGGGTTCCATCCCCAACACACACACACACACACACACACACACACACCTCCACACCATTTTCACGTTCTTTCTCCTTTTAAAATTTCTTAACTTCTTAGGCTCAATCCTTTGTCAGAGGAAAAACAGCTTTTGAATTTTAATATATATTATAGGAAATATATTTTAAGAGTAAATATGTGTTTTACTGTTTTCTTAAAATATTTAGAAAACTTTTTTAAACACACATGTACACATTCTCGCCCCAGAGTTCAAGATCTTCTGTGGAGCCAGCTGTTCTTACCAGGCAGCACATGTCAGAACCCACTCCCCGAGCTGACTCCAGGGCAAATGTGATTCAAATAATAATGTCTAGGTCTTAGATCAAGATTTCACATTGAATTCATTTTCCGTTATCATGACCAAATTTTTAACAATTTTTTAAACTGCTTTTTAATACATCATGAGGATTTTTAAAACAGAAAAAAAGCAGGACCCAAAATTATACATGCCATGGACTATCGGCTATATTTTTAAAATATGCTTACATGGGTTGGGGATGTGGCTCAAGAGGTAATGCACTTGCCTGGCATGCACAGGGCACTGGGTTCGATCCTCAGCACCAATAAAAAATAAAATAAAGATGTTGTGTCCACCAAAAACTGAAAAATAAATATTAAAAAATTCTCTATCTTTAAAAAAAATATGCTTACAAAAAGGACAATGTTCAGCAGTGGCAATGTCAGATGATGGTATTATAAGTGAAGTTTAATATTATTCTGTATTTTCTAAGCTTTTTACCTTTATTTCCTGTTGTAAAATAATTCAAATTACAAAAATAGTGGAGGACACATATGGACACACCAGACTAGCTGCTCACATCTGCCAGATTGACTTGTTCTGAGTGCTTCTGAGAACCATGTGGTTCACAGCCAGAGGGCTACCCTCACAATTCCCTGTCCTTCCTCCTGGGAAGTTTGCAGCGGTTTCTCCTGCTTACACTGTCTGCATGTCCATGACAATATAAAATTGCTTTTTGTTTTTAAAATTTACAAAAATTTATCCTATCAAGCCTATCCTTTCATAACACTTTTTTTCAGTCAATATTGTATTCTTGAAATTCATCAATAATCTACCCAGAGAGAATATTTGTTTTCATTATCTGATGGCGTTTTGCTGTATGAATTAACCCCTACAGATGGGCAGTTTGGATTTTCCCCAGTTCTTTAGCATTGAAACCTTGCTGTGGCGACCATCTGTGCATCATGTCCCCAGTGCACAGGGAAGTGGAACTGGCAGGTCTTGTTGCCACATTGCTCTTTTGGAAGTGTGACCCTGTTTATCACACCATCAGCACAAGTGCTCTTGCCTTCGTTTCTTCTGTTTCTGATCACTCACCATTTATTGTTAGTTTATTGATATCTCCAATTTATTCTTTATTGTGGTTCACCTGTTCCTATCTTTTGCTCATTTTTTGGTTGTGTTGTCTGTGTTTTTTTCTTTTATAAACTTTTATTTTATGTGTTTATTTCTTATGTGGTGCTGAGGGTCGAACCCAGTGTCTCCATGTGCTAGGTATTGAGCCACAATCCCAAACCCAGGTTGTCTTTTTATTAGTCCATAGGGGCTCTTTTATATTTAAGTTACTAATCCTTTAATGGAACATTACTTGTTTGGGAAGGTTGTATTACTTTTACAATGATTAAAAGTTACTTTTAAATGGATTTTAAAATTTTTTCCTCGTAAATTCATTCATATACTGTGTCTCTTCTAGCTACTGAAATGAGGCAAAATGACAAGATCACATGCATATTAGAAGATCGGGAAAGGAGAGATAGGAAAACTCTCAGTAGAGCTACCAATGATTTCCAGCAGAGCTTTCAGAGGCCAGAAACTCGCCGTGAATTTGACCTGTCTGACCCCCTATCCCTTAAGAAAGCTCTTCCAGCCCGGCAGTCAGATAATGACATCCGGAATACCATATCAGGAATGCAAAAGTTCATGGGGGAGGATTTAAACTTCCGGGAGAGGAAGAAATTCCAAGAGGAACAAAACAGAGAATGGTCCTTGCAACAGCAACGGGAATGGGAGAGGGCTCGTGCCCACCAGAAATGTGCAGGTAAGGAAGAGAGGTGAACTGGCTCAGTGATCCCAACCAGTCAGTCCCCCAGGGGCCCAGGTGCTGTTCATCCTCCTGAAGTGCACAGCCACACGCTTCTTTGGCATGTGGGGAAAGAGAGGAGAAGCCTGAGCCCCATGGGTCAGCCCTGCGTTAGGGCCCCAGTGGGTGCTGGGGCTCGGATAACCCAGAGTCGGCCTCTGCCCCCATTGTGTGCACAGTGCTTAGAAGATGGATGGGAACATGTAGGCCCACGGCGTTCTCTGAGTGCTGTGTGGAAGTCAGAGGGGCCTATGGGAACCCAGTTGCAGCCTGTGGTCATACACTGCACCAGGACTCCCCAGGCCAAGGCGGAAAGCTGTCTTCCTCAGGGGACTGCCACAGCCCAAGTCCTGCTCTCAGGGAGGCTGCGAGCCACTTGCTCTAGCAGCTCCCTTCCTCCAGCCATCTGAGCAGCAGCAGCAGCTGCCGCTGCCCCTCTGGCCTGTCTCCCGTGCCCGCACATCCCTGCTCTTGTGGGACACGCCAGTAGGTGGTACAGAGAGCAGGGCACTGGAGCAGGAGCTCTGTACCCCGCTCTGAGCCCCTCCGCTCGGGCTGTTCATTTGCCGTCTCCTTGGTAGCGCCCTCTCCAGCCTCTGCTCTTCCCACTCTCTGGGAGCAGGGTCCCTCTCACATCCTCCCCCACTCTTTGTGCCCACTACTACAGACCTCTGCTTTCCTGGCCAGTTACACAGTGGCCTCCCTGTCACTCAGGTTGAGGTCTTCAGCTTGGCCTCTAGGCCACAGATGACACAGTCAATCACCTCATGCTCTGAGACACACAGGCCATCTGGCTTCTGGGACTCCGCCCTCTGCTGGTCCTCCTGCCCAGGCTCCTTGAATGGGACTCTCTCCCCTGCTCTGGCAGCTCTTGCTCACCAGCGCTTTCTGGGCCTCCCCTCTGCCTGTGCCCACTGCTGATAAGGATGGGCTTATCAGCTGGCCTGGTCCTCCCTCCTTGCTGTGCTCACCCCCAGAGGCCTCATTTCCCAAGCTCATGTGTCCCTATGTATATTCTCCGCTGAATCCGCACTCACAGCCCCACCCAGCTGCCCCGCCCCTGATGAGCTCTGAACTTCAGCGCAGGTCCAGTCACTCTGCTCTCCACCAGGCCCCACCTTCCTCTCGCATCACGCCAGCCCCAACCAAGACTCCTTCTTTTCTCAGTTCTACATCCAGGCCACCCACAGATCATCTCGAGTTTCAGCTGCTTTTTACATAGCCACCATTGCCACCTGGACTCGGCTTCATTACCTCTCAGCTGGACTGTTGCATTGTCCTCTAACTACCCTCTGCCTCTGCTCTCTCCCCCTGCAGCCTCCACTCAACCGTGGCCAGGGTGGAACCCTGAAAGTCAGGTGGGATCCTTTGCTGGGACCCTTCAGCGGTTCCCAGTCACTGAGCGAAAGCAAATTCCTGAGGACCTCTGGGGCTCGGGGTGTGGCCCATCTCCAGCCAGGACCCTGCCCTGTCTACCCGCTCCTTTCTTTGCACACTGTCTTCTGCTCTTCCTGGGACATGGGTGTGTCCAGCTCGCTTCTGCCTCAGGGACTCTGCTCCTGCTGCTTGGAAACGTCCTTCCCTGGATAAGGCGCATCTGTGCCATCCCTGTCCTTGACTGAAATATGGGCCTCCTGGGCCCCTTCCCTGCTCCGTTTTCCCGAGGCTCAATTACTGGCACACCTTGGGTTTGTACTTGCCACACTGCTCCTGAGTGTCACACCCTAAGCTCAGTGAAGGCGGGGACTTTTGTTGGTCTGTCTGCTGCGTATATAGACAGACACCTGTGGGAATAACCCACTCGTGGGCTCTGGGGATCTCCTCCATCCCCACCTGCTCCAGATCGCCATTGCTGGCCAGGACCCTCCTCCCAGCCTTGGCCTTGGTCCTCCAGAGGCCTCCTTTCCCTCTCTGGACTTCTCACAGTGCCCTGGGACCTGACCTCACCTCTGGGTCTGCCCCCTCCTGCCTTTCTGCTCCTCCCCTTCACCAAGCCAGAAACTTGGGGCCACCCTTGACCCCCTGCAGGACATCTTCACCTCTTGTCCCTGTCACCTCCTGCACGTATTTCTATGATGTGGTGCATGATGATCATACATGATAGTGGGTTCACTGTGTCAGACCCATCATTTGATCAGTCTCCAGCCCCAGCACCTTCCCTTGTCCTTCCTCCTCCCTCCCCTGACTCGCTTACTCTGCTCTGCTGACTCCCCTTCTATTGTTGTTGTCATCATTGTCATCAGCACATTATAATCATAGATATAAGCAGAGGTCATGGTGTAAAACTTGGTAGATTTTTTCCCCAGTCCTTCTCCATACTCCCTCCTCTGCTCTGTCCGTTCTCCCTCCTATTTTCATGAGATCCTTTTTAGTTCCCTTTCCCTCTTTGTAGATTCCACATAGGAGGGAAACATGCGACCCTCCCACACATACCTCAAGCTGTCCACTTCTCTCCGTCCCTGTTGTCATTGCTGGGATAGAAGCACCAAATTCTTCACCCAGATGGATCATGCTGATAGCTGTCCTTCCCTTCTGTGGTCTCAACATGGAAGGCAGTGATGCTTTTTAAATGATATCCAGTTGAACAGCACCCCCCATCCTCAGCTCGAAGCCCTTCGATGGCTTCCCAGGGCACATAGTGAAGTCAAATCCTGCCATAGCCCGCAAGGTTGTACTGGGCCTCTGCCGGCCTCCAGTGCTGACTGCCGGCCCTGCCCACTCCGGCTCATTGACTGCCAAGCCTTCCCTGTCTTGTGTGCTCGAGTGGCATCTGACCACCTGCTGCCTAGCTTCCTCTCCTCTACCAATGGTCAGATGTGTGTTTTTGCACTTATTTTGAACTCCACATATTTACTCTCTCCAAGACAGCCAGTTCCAGGGAGGCAGGAAACCTTTTGTGTTTTACTCGCTGCTGTGTCTGTGTCCCCAGCACAGCCAGCGGCCCACCTGAGCCTCTGATGCTGTGTGTTGGATAAAGGAACAAATGAAGGGCAAGAGGGGTTGGGGGTGAGCAGAGGCCAGAATTTCAAGAGTCTGGTTGTGGTCGGGCGTGGTAGCCACACCTGTAATCCCAGCAGCTTGGGAAGCAGAGGCAGGAGGATCGTGAGTTCAAAGCCAGCCTCAGCAATTTAAGCAACTCAGTGAGACTCTGTCTCTAAATAAAATAAAAAATTAGATTGGGGATGTGGCTCAGTGGTCAAGTGCCCCTGAGTTCAATCCCTTATACCCCGCCCCCCCAAAAAAGTCTGGTTGTCATTTTTGGAAATAATGAGGGGACCTATCAGGCACAAATACAGAAATCAGGAACTTCTGATCAATGATTTTTGAAAAACAGAACAACCCAAAGTGAAGTAGGTGTTTCCTGCCTCGCCTGGGGACAGGACGGCTCAGGATAAGCGAGGTTGCAGGTACAGAACTAGGAATGTCTGCAAGTGTCTGGATGATCTTCACATTTTGTCATTGGGACCCTCCACTGGGGCCCCTCCCATTGGCCTAGGAAGGTCCTGTCCTACTGTCCCTCCACAAGTATCTGTGACCTGCCACCCCTTCCCTTTGTCCTTCTGGTTTCTACAGCTCCTTTTTCTGGGTTCTCACCGCCCCATGCCCACTGTAAGGATGAGGCTTTCTCCTGCAAAACCAGAGACGGCAAGGGGCACACTGCCCCAGGACCATAGCAGTCAGCCCCAGGGCACTGCCCATTCACAGCAGAGATGAGAGCTCTGCTTGGATGAAGTCAGGGACCCCTCAGCCTTTGGAGGCAGGTCCTGGCATTATCATCCCCAGCCTCCCCGTGACAGAGGGGTGGTGACAGCATGAGCAACCCTGGTGCAGGCTACTCTGCACCCGTGTGGGCATGCCAGGTCTGACGTGTCTCTCCTCCTTGTAGAGGACCTCTACTTGCAGACGAGGCTCAAGTTTGATGAAACAGCAAGGCACCTGCAGATGCTGGAAAGCAACGCCAGAAGGGCCGTCTGTGCAGCTGTGAAAGAGTTCAACAGGAACCAGGTGCCCAGCTGGGGCGCTGTGCCTACAGGGTGGATGGGCACACGCGGCTGGCTGGACCTCAGCCTCAGGGTCCCAAGCCCACCCCTCCCTCTGCTGAGGTGGATGGCCCTGGGTCTGGTCTGTCCCTTAGCTCTGAATCAGCCACAAAACTTAGAAACTTAGCTTTAGTTTCTTTCATAATTTGAGAGCAGATGCCACCTGGCACTGCTCTGCGGCCTGGTACTAGGTTCAGATCTTCTCAACCAGGACAGGTGGATAGGCACTCACCAGGGAAGCGAGGACAGTGGCAAGGATGATGGTGGTCTCCTGGTGACCCCCTCTTATCAGTCCTTCCCAGCTTCCTTGGATCCCGCCCCTCTCAGGTTTTCTTTGCAAATGCAGGTATATTTCCTGAGCGAGGTGGAGCTGGGTCTGGCTCAGCTGATCAGATTAGCTGGTTGACTGGCACTTGGTCTCCAAAGGAGCTGTGCAAGTGGCCCCTGAGACAGCAGGAGAACAATACCAGGACTTTGCTTCACACAGTTTCAGCCCTGTCGTTTTTAATGCTGTGTCCATGTGTCTTACAAAGCACATCCTGTATTTGTGGGATAGAGGTGCTGCATTGTAAGCCAAATAAATTGGAGCTCAAGCTGAAATATGTCCTGGGGTATGCAATCAAAAAGCCAGGACAGCCTGGGCAGAGGCAGAGGAGATTGGTTTTCAGCAGGGAGAGAAATGAGGCACCAGAGCCCCAAGCAGCGAGGTTCAAGGGGTCATAGAGGTTATCTGATCCTCGCCCTCCTTTGACAGAGCAGCTCAGGGGAGACTGGTTCAGGCTCCGTAACAAATGGACCCAATGCTGGGGGTCTTTCCTTCCTTCCCTCCATTCACCTACTCTGTTCCTTTATCCCTGAGCCTCTTACTGGGCACTGTTGGGATTCTTGCTAAACCACATTGCCTTGTTCATTCATTTGTTTGTTCATTTCCTATTATTTTGATAAGCCCCTACATGTGCCCATGATTAATACAATTTAATTGGTGGAGAGACATGCTCAGCAGGTGAGCAAACTTTCTCAGGGGTGCCAGGTTCTAAGTGGCAAGTATGGAGTTTGGTGTCTGGCTGCAGAGCCCATGCTGTGTGGCACGAGGCCTGTTGTGAGCACCTGCGTTGCAGGATTCGCTGTCTGTTCTTCACCAAGGAGAACTGTTGACCCCAGGGGTTCCCATTCTGTCTATTGACTTTACAGAGAAGCTATTGCAGCCCAGAGGGAGGAGCTGACTTACTGTAGGTCACACAGCCACCTGTCCTGGGCATCTGAACAGCAATGGGTATTGGGGGCCGCAGCTGGGCCATCAGGGTCAGTGAAAAGAAGTACCTCTCCCAGCTTTTAGAAGTCATTCATGTTCTTTGCAGCCTGCAGATGTCCAAAGGCTGCCAGGCCACAGGAGGGGCACAGAGCCCTGTCCAGCTGGTGCCAGGCTGATGAGGAGCGGGAGCTGCCCTAGGCATGCATCCCATCGGTAGTGGCCCTGCAGTCCCACCCACCCACCCACCTGCAGTGCTCAGGTAGCCAGGGCCCACTGGCTCATCCATGCCACACCAGCCTGTGCCCCTCCTTCCCTGCTCCTGCAGCATGTCCCTCCTGCCAGGGCCCCAGGGGGATTTCTGACCCAGGCCTAGGAACCCCCCTGGAGTCTCTGAAAGCATCTTTCCCAATGTCTTTCCCTGTGTAGGCCATAGAGTCACAAGAAAGGAAAAAACTTGAGAAAAAGCAGGAGGAGGAAGACAACCTGGCCGAGATCTCCAACCTGCTTCACGGGGACTTGCTGTCTGAGAACCCGCAGCAGGCGGCCAGCTCCTTTGGTCCCCACCGTGTGATCCCAGGCCGCTGGAAGGGAATGTCCCAGGAGCAGCTGGAACAGGTCCACCTCACTCAGAAGCAGCAAGTCCTGGAGAAGCTGGTACCTCCCAGCCCTTAGAGCACCGTAGTGCCCCTGCCGCCGCCCCCCAGCCCCTCGTGGCTTTCCTTGGCCAGTGTTACGCTCACCCTGAGTGGGAACGGCTAGGGGATGAGAGCCGGAAACCCCTCCATGTGTGATGAGGCAGGTGGCATGTGAAGGAGATGGGCCTTGAGTATGACTCCAGGCCTTCAAGCTGGAGCAACTGGAAGGATAGAGCTGGTGTCCACAGAGAAGGGAAAATGGTGGAAGGAGCAGGTTGGCAGGGAGAGTGGAAGTCACCAGTGCAGCAGTTTCAGATGTTAAGTGTGCAATGTCCTTTAGACACCTGAACCTGCTGTGATCAATTCACCTGAATGTGGCAAAAAAGAAAACCCCCAAACACAAATACCAGCATTTTGAACAAAATAGAACTTTGTCTTGCAAATAGACTAGGTTTGTAGGAAAACAACCCAAGTCTTCTAGGGCAGGCCAGAGGGCCATCCTTGGCACCTGGCTCTCACCTCTTAGCACAAAACATCTGCTTGAGCATTAGCAGTCACATGCATATTCCAGCTATGAAGAAGGAGGAAAGAGGAAAAACACTTTGGGGAGTTTTACAAGACACTTCCACTTATATTCCATTGGACAATTTTAGTCACAAGATTGCTCCTAACTATAGAGTGCTGGGAGATTTAATGTTTATTCTCGGCAGTGAAGTGTGGTGATTCTTCACCAAGGAAGAAGGAATCACAGCTGCTGAGGGACAGTGAAGCCTGGGGAGGCCTGCAGGGCAGCAGGGTGTACGGCCTGGGTTCAGAACAAGGGCTGAGCTGTGGGTGTAACTGGGAGTGGTCACCTCTGAGCATGCTGAGGGCAGACCTGGGGAGACTGCACAGGGGTGAGCCTAGACGGGGGAACTGGGGACCAAGTTCTGGGGCCACTCTCCACCATCACTACAGAGCAAGGGGGCCTGACCCAAGGACACCAGCTTTGGTGTCCTGGAGAGCAGGTGAGAGGTGTCTGGGAGGAAGGAGGGACCCGTGCCTGCTGGGTCCTGCACCTAGGCCATGCCTGGGGGCTCTATCCGGAGTGCCTGTGGTGCAGAAGGGGACAGTGGCCTGCCTGATGGGCTCTGGAGAGAGAGAGTGGAGGAGTCACAGATGCAGGCAGCATTTTCAGGGCAGGAGACAGGTGAAGAGGCAGGGCAAGGAGAGCCTGTGGGAGCCATGTCCCTGGAGGACGGGGGGCCTGAGGCCTAGGGCACAAAGCAAGGACCTGGTGTGGCTGGGCACCCAGACCCATGGCAGTCTCGGGAGGGCTGCAGGTGGAGGCTCGAGGAGCTCCTCCGGAGCTGTTCCTGGGGAGGTGAGAAGCCAGTTACCAGAGAGGACAGAGTGTGAGTGGCCTCTAGAGGAATGGGATGGATGACCCAGGTACCAAAGGCCTGGACTTGAGTGACCCCACCCCATGGCCAGGTGTGCTTCCAGCCATGCTCGAGTAGGTGTGAGCTGGGCTCATCCCATGAAGTCAGGGCTTCTGGTGGGTGTGGCCACATCTAAGGTTAAGGGTGCTCCCGCCAGTGGAATGAAGGTCTCTGGGACAGGGGACAGTCATGTGAGCCACCAGGGTCCTAGAGAGAGTAAGACACAGGTCAGAGTGGTAGACCTGGGGGAGAGACGAGGAGGGGTGGCATTATTGGTGATCACAGGTGAAGGCAACCCGGGACCAGCATGGCCAGCTGGTGGCCTGCTGGAGTTGGAGCCCCTGGGAGTGGGGGCCCTAGGGGAGGAGGTGGTGCTGAAGCGCTGGCGCTGAGGAGCCAGGGCTGGAAAGGAGCATGCCTGCGGGCTGGACCACTCAGAACCTGGCAGGAGAGATGGGGAGGTGCTGAAACCCGCCAGGTCCAGGGCTGATCAGAGGCTGCGGTGGCCCTGCCAGGTGAGCCTCCAAGTCAGAGAACTTACCGGGAGGAGGAAGGGCCCTGGCACTGGCCCAGACAAGGTCCTAAGGGGCAGCGGGCATGTGTGGTGAGGATATGTGAGGCAGGGCAGGAGCCAGGCCTGGGTGGTGGGTCTGGAGGCCCAGAGGCTATGAAGAGCACAGAGGCAGGAATGGGCGCGGGTCCTGCACCCCACTCACTCCTCGACTCAGCCCCAGCGGTCGGCCAGGAGGGTCAGCCATCAGCCCTAAAGGCAGCTTTTGGTCTAATGTCCAAACTGTAGAAAATTCAAAAGACAAAGCATAAAGGGGGGAAAGGGCCACCTAAGTTCTCACCACCCCACCCCCCGCCATGCCATCTGGGCCCTCTCCTCCCAGCTTCTGGGCTGTGAGCAGTGGGATGTGGAAACCTAGGATCCTGCAGACTGTCTGGGCCTCTGCTTGGCTGTTAGCCCTAGTGCTGCACCCCTGCCACTATGTTTGTGACAGCAGCCTGTGTGATGGCCCAGGTCCTGTGTGCAGCCTTGCGACACATGGAGGCTCCCAGGAGTGGGTGACTTGCTCACAGGGGGCCACTCCCACCCCCTGCCTTGGATCTGCATGTGGGGTTAGGTCAGGCCTGCAGGCCTGACCCTCCTTGCTTGCTATCTGGGAGAGAGAGGTGCTCTGTCCTCCACCCTTCCATAGGGGTCTTGGAGGGCACCTGCTGCCCTGCCCACCCACTGCAGTGGGGTTTCCTGGGAGGAGAGGGACCTGATGGGTGACCTGCACTGCCCGACTCCTGAGGCAGCTCCCTTTACACTCTGCAGATTCCCCTTTGGGGCTCCTAGTTCTGCACAGCAGGGTCTGGCCGGTGATGGGGATGCGCTGCAGAACCACAGGGCCAGCTGCCCACTGGGCTTTGTGGTGGCAGGGTGGCTCTCCAGCACCAGCACGTTCTAGGAGTTCTCCAGGCTGCTTGGGCGGTTGTCCGAGCCAGCCAGGGAGCCCTCCTGAGGACCTAAATTCTCACCCTGCTCTCAGTTGTGCACATGGGGCTGGGAACGTTGTTGGAACTGAGCTGCTGCTATCCCTTTAGGAATAGGAGGCGGGAAGCAGCTGGGCCAGGCAGGATGAGGGTAGGCTGGGGGTCCTCCAGCTGCCCCTTCTCTGAGCCTTTGTTTCCCCATCTGTAGAAGGGGAGGCTGGGGGTCCTGGACGGTCCCCTTGGGCTCTGGGCTCTGGGCGAGGTAGCAACAAGTCGCCTCTCCTCCTCAGAGGCTGCAGGAGGAGGAGTGCCAGCGGGACATGGACTGGGACCAGCGGAGGATCCAGAAGGCTCGCGAGGACCTGATGTATGAACGGCAGATGCAGCGACACCAACGAGACCTGCGCAGGGCCCTGGACAGCAGCAACCGCAGCCTGGCCAGGCAACAGTGTCTGCAGTGAGTGCCCAGGGGCAGGAGACTGGGCAGCATGGAGACCACTCCTTGGGCAGCCTCATCTGGGCACTGGGGACCCCAGGCAGGCTCAGTTCAGGTGTGGGACCCGCAGTTCCTGATTTGGACCTTTGCGGCCCCAGGAAAAAGCACCGAGTTGGCTGGGGGTCTGAGAGAGGGTCCCCCAAGAGGGCTCTTGGGGCAACAGGAGGGTTCTTGGGGCAACAGGAGGACTCCCCAGCTGCCTGGCACCTGTTGGGTACAGATAGGACCCAGGAGTAGTTCCAACATCCAGTTATGGGAACATGGCTCAGGCTCTGAGGGACCCATAGCATCTGCTCCTGTCAGACCTGGGGCTGCCTGTGGGCCGTGACTTGTCATTCTGTTGGGCTTGGAAGGAGCACTAAGGTATCCATGTCCCCAGGGTGAAGCAGAGCCTCTTCACAGTCATACCTCGGAGGCCTAATCTTACACACCCCCAGATGACACTAGCACGGTCCCTAGTTAACTGCAGGGTGATTGCAACATGCACTGGCTGCTGAGGAGAGTTGAAGGGGAACAATTTGGGGGCTCCTTGGGGTTGAAATGCCTTCTGCATCATGGGGTAACACTAATAAAAAGCCCAGGAGCTTTTTCTTAAAATACTTAGGAAGTACACATATGTGCTAATCATTTTCTCCTCGTTTTGTTATTAGGAAAAAACACATGGATGAAGTCAGTACCAATCAGCTCACAGGAGATTATTTCACACAATTTAATACCAGCAGTCGATGAGAAGGACGCCCTCACTCCCCTGGGTCACGTGTGAAGTGTGGCAACCTTAAAGAGTCGTTATTTAAAAAGCCTGCGTTTCCTTGGTCCAGAAACCCCCACGGAAAGGTCTGAGTCTTCTGCGAGTCGAGGTGGAAGAGGGGAAGAGAGCTTGGCCCAGTGGCCCAGAGTGCAGAAGCAGGGGCTCAGCACGCAAAGGTGCTTCTTGACCCCAGGGGCCCCAGAGGCGGCTGGCAATCATGGGGGGCAGTGAGGAAAAGGCGTGGCCACGCTCCTCCTGGGAACAGGCGAGGTCCCCTGGGAGCTCGCGCCACTCTTCTCCTTTCACGTCACTCTTCTCCTTTCATGGCCTCGGTCTTCCAGGCCTGGGGGTTGGCAGCTGTCCATCCTCCCAGTGGGGAGATGGGTGACCAGCCGCGTCCAGGTCCAGTTAACCTGTATAATAGCCCCAGGCTTTCCCCAGTTGTCCAGTGACACGCACAAAGCTGAGTCAGCTCTGACCCAAAGGTCAGGCCAGCGGAGGAGATGGACACCCGTCCCTCCACCCCATCCGTGTCACCCACCAGGCGTCCGCAGGTCCAAGTGAAGAGTGAGCAGAAGTGTTTCAGCAGAAGTGGCCTTCGGGTCCCCATGAGTCTCCCAGGCAACTGTCACCATCCTAACCCATGTGTCAGAGGTGTCCCTGGGAAACTAGTCATGCGCAGCCCAGTGGCGTGACCTCCAGCTGAGAGCCAGCAAAGCTGGAGGAGGGAGAGGGACACCTCTCCTCCAAAAGGAAGTACAGGGAGAGGGGGCATCAGGGTGTGCCTGTGGCTTCTCAGACTGCTGTTTAGCTGCTGCCCTCGGTGACAAGTGCTGTTGTTAGCGAGTGGCGTCGCTCCATCAGGAGGTAGCCAATGAGTGGGCGTCGCTCCCATTGTGATTCTCGAGGCAGCCGGAGCTGGGGTTTACTACTCACATTTTCTAGTTGGAGACCCTCGTGTGGACATGCACAGGGACTTGCCCACCTTCCCACTGCAGAGAAGCAGCAAGCTCAGGGTGAGCCCAGAATGCTGGCCCCAGCCACTCCCCTCTCTGGAGAAACAGACCCCAAACCACAGTGGCCTCCACGAAGGGCAGATGTTTCTTTCCTACCCTTTGGGAGTTCTAGCTGACCCGGAACCCTGTTGAGCAGCGCTGCTCACCTGGGCTCCCTCTGCAGGTCGCCCGGCCCTCCCCAACTCTCATAGCCCCCATCCTGGGGTCCAGGCTGCCACTCCAGCTCCCACTCTCATGCCACCCCATGGCAGCTAGGGGGACAGGAACAGAGCAGAGGGCACAGCTTCCCTTGGGGACATGCCTGGAAAGTGCACGCTCTGCCTCTGCCCATGTCTCCAGTCCCATGTGTGCTCATGGTCCAAGGGTGGGAGAAACACTTTTCCTTTGAATCACACCATCGCTCCTGCTCCCGTTGCTGTCACCTCAGTCCCATTGTTGAGGAGACCAGGAAAGCCAGGCTGCGTTGAACTCTGAGGACACAATAACAGCTGGCCCACTCAGGCTGTCACCCTAGGCGGCAGGGTGGAGAGATGCCCTCAGAGGCTCAGAGTCCGGTGGAGTGGAGCAGGGCTTTGGGGCGCCCTCCCCCTCCTCCCTGACATGGCCCAGGCCTCAGCCTCTGCTGGGGCTCTCCACTCTGCCCACGTCTGCCACGAAACTGCCCACAGATGCTGCTATCTAGGACCCGTTGCCCCACCCCCATGTGGGCTTCGGGAACCCCATGCCTTGAGTCACTCCAGCCTTAGGTAGAACCGTGCCTCTAGTCTGCTCTCAGGAGCAAGGTGGGACCTTGCCGTGACATCAAGAGTTGCTAAAGGTCCAGGGAAAACACAGGACATGCATCTGAGGGGAGACCAGGGACCCAGATCCCTCCAAGGCCCCTCCTAGAGTCCCCTCCACAGGACGTGCTCCGCCCACCTGTGTGCAAAGGCAGCACACCCCCTTTGCACAAGGCTGGAGCGAACACCTGTGGTCCCACCCTGCAGAGCCCAGGGTCCCCCAGCACTCGGCCTTTGTTTAGGAGCAGGGCTTTCTCTTCCCAGTGAGATTGAGGACAAGAACACTCCCTGTGGGGAGGAAGGTGGTTTCCCAGGGCAATAAACTGAGGGCTTAAACAACACTTAACCGTTCATGGCAGCTCTGGAGGCCAGAAGTCCAAGGTGTGGGCAGGGTTGCTGCAAGGCAGAGCCCCACTCCCCAGGCCTGGAGGGAGGGTGGTTCCAGGCCTCTTGTTGAGCTTCTGGTGGTTTCTGGCATACTTCAGTGTGTGGCATCCCTTGATCTGCAAGCTCCTGTTCACAAAATCTCTCCTGTATGAGGACTGGATCAGGGCTCACCTGTGACCTCGTCTTCCTGATCATATCTACGATTCCCTATTTCCAGGTAAGGTTACATTATGAGGTACCAGGAGTGAGGACCCCAACATGTTTGGGGGGGCACACAATTAACCCACCACGGGGGGGAAAGGCAGAGGGGAGCTTGCTCCATTGCTTCCTCAGGTAATCGTACCCAAGCTGAGCTAGGCAGGCCTTGGGGAGCAAGGTGACAACAGGTGACTGACAGACTCTTTGTCCTCCTGCTTTTGAGGATGAACATTGAGAAATGGGAGGCGACCCTTGAGAGCACCAAAGGCTCTTCAAGTCTGCAGTCCCTGCCAGTCCCTGAGCCAGTCTAACTCAAAGTTCAGGGGTGGAAGTGGAGCCCTGCATAGGAGCACAAGGCAAGTCACACGTGAGCACGGGCCAGAACCACCAGGAGGCTGCTGCAGCCCTGGAGAGGGCACTTACACCCCAGAATGGTGGGCTCAATGTGGAGGGCTGGTTCTTAACACTGAACTTTGCATTTTTATAAAAAATGTTCCAGAAGGAAGGACAGGCGGAAAGCTGGGCATTTGCTTGTGTTAGATGCGCCCTCTTCTGGTGACACAGCTCAGCGCCTTTCCTGATCTCCCCAGGAAAATGGAAGCCTCTGTCACACGTTGGGCAAGTTCTTGCAACACCAGGACAGTGCTGGATATTTGTCGTGGTCATCCAGAGAAAACAGGATGAAATAAACTAAGTGACTTACCATCCCCAGAAGGCAAAGCCCAGGTGCTGCCATCTCCATTATTCTCGAGTGGCCTGTTAGAATTTTACATACAACACATAAGCTCCAGAGGACTTCTGTTTTTGTTTCTAACTTATCCTCTGCTAACTGAAAGAGCTGTAGATACTGCCACCTGTATTCTACAATGAATATTTTGCTATGTTTCCTTTATTGCCTACTTCCCTGAAGATTTGTTTTTTAAAATTTGTTTTGTTGGTCTGGGGCTGTAGCTCAGTGGTAGAGTGCTCACCTAGCATGCGTGAGGCACTGGGTTCAATCCTTAGCACCACATAAAAGTAAAATATATATATAAAATTTTTGTTTTGTGCTGTTATAAAAAGACGCATCTAAAACAAAACAGCTCTGAAAAGTTAAAAATAATAGCATTCAAAAGTCATTTGAGCCAGGTGCACTGGCAAGACACCTATAATCCCAGAGGTTCCGAGGCTGAGGCGGAAGGATCGCAAGCTCAAAGCCAACCTCAGCAATTTAGCGAGGCTGTCTCAAAAAGTAAGAAGGACTGGGGGTAATTAGTTTTGTGGTTGAGCATCCATGGGTTCAAGTCCGAAGTCCCTGCCAGTCCCTGAGCCAGTACTGCAAAACAAAATGAAACAAAATCTATACAATTGCCAAAATTTGGAAGCAACCAAGTGTTATTTAATAGGTGAATGAGTAACCAAACCATGGCACATCCAGACAGTGGATTAATCCGGCATTTAAAAGAAATGGCACAGTGGGACTGTAAATTGGTGCAACCATCTGGAAAGTAGTATGGAGATTTCTTAGAAAACTTGGAATGGAACACCATTTGGCCCAGTTATCCCACTCCTTGGCATATCCCAAAGGACTTAAAATCAGCATACTACAGTGACACAGACAAATCAATGTTTAAAGTAGCTCAATTCACAGTAGCTAAACTGTGGAACCAACCTAGGTGCCCTTCAACAAATGAATTGGTAAAGAAAATGAGGTATATGTACACAATGGAGTACTACTCAGCCATAAAGAAAAATGAAATTATGGCATTTGACAGTAAATGGATGGAACTGGAGACTAAAATGCTAAGTGAAATAAGCCAGTCCCCCCAAAAAACACAAAGGCCAAATGTTCTCTCTGATATGTGGATGCTAACACACAATAGCAGGGCTTAGGGAAGAGCAGATGTTCATTGGATTAGATAAGTGGGAATTAAGGGAAGGGAGGGGGAATGGGATGGGAAAGACAGTAGAATGAACTGGACATGACTTTCCTGTGCTCATACATATGAATACACGACCAGTGTAACTCCACATTGTGTCCAACCACAGAATGGGAAGTTATATTCTATGTATGTATAATATGTGAAAATACATTTTACTGTCATGGATGTATAAAAAAATAAAAAGAAAAAAGAAATGGCCCAAGCCTGGCACAGTGCTGAACGCCTGTAATCCCAGTGACTCTGGAGGCTGAGGCAGGAGGATTGAGAGTTTGAAGCCTGCTCCCACAAAAGTGAGGTGCTATCTCTCAATAAAATACAAAATAGGGCTAGGGATGTGGCTCAGTGGTCAAGTGCCCCTGAGTTCAACCCCAGTACACACACACACATGCACACACACACACACACACACACACACACGCCAAAAAGGAAATGGCCCAACGTGTGTGATCTCAAGGGGCTCTCTGGGAAGGGCAGAGCTGTGGAGTCTGGGAAAATGAGTAGCTGCCAGGGCTGAGAAGGGACAGGCAGGCAGGGCTCGGGATTTTTAGGGCCATGAAGCTATTCTGCAATGTACTTTAACGATGGACCCACATCAGATAGAATTGTCCAAACCCAGAGAACGCGCATGTTCAACCCCAGGGCTGCAACACCCCGGTGTGTGTGCCCGTTAGGAACCTCAAAGAAAGAACTTGGAGGACTGTGGGGAGGGGGGGGTTGACATTTCATTGCTCCCGCCTCCCAGGGCGGT